CAGTTACTATATTCTAAGAAAAAAGAAAAATTTAAAAAAGATCTTAACAGTTAACAAAAGAGGGAAGAACATTCTCATTTCCAAATTCTTAATGAGATCAGTATCTTTTATTTTGAGACAAGGTGCCATTATGTAGCATAGACTGGTCTCAGACTCTAAATGCTAGGATAAGGAGACAACACACCCAGCTTCCAGTGTAACCTTTGTAGCAGCTGGGCATTGTGGCATATACCTGCAATCCCACCTATTCAGGACACCTGAGTCCTGCAGTTCAAGACTAGCATGGACAACAAAATGAGAACCAGGCATTCATGTAGGTTCCTCACTTTCAACAGTCCTGCATCATTAAGTGTGCCAGTAGTGGGCTGTTCATATATGGCCTGGCATGTTGAGAAGCCTTTATTTCCTGCCTAGAGTAAAAAAGTTTTGAACAAGTGTGAATATTTGAAAACACTCTAGTTATTAGGTATTCTGTATGTCATATATATTAAATATAAATACTTGAAAAATATAAATGTGTATATATAATTTTTTAGAACAGAATCTGTATGACCCAGGCTAGCTTTGAACTATCTTCCTGCCTCAGCCTCCTAAGAGGCAGAATTATAGGTGTGTGCTACCACACCTAGTATAACCATTCTCCTAAACGGTATTAGGCTCAGTGAAAAAAAATGCCCTTTTCTTAAAACAGGTGAGTCATACTTTGGTGAAATATGATCTCTACAACTTACTTTTAAATCATTAAAGCACAAAACATATTTGCATACTATTGTAATACATTCATATAAATCAATATTAAGATTTTTAAACTCACTGAGCCTAAATAGGAGGTTTCCACTTATTTGTTGTACTGCTTGCAACTCTTCTGTTTCAATATTCTCATAGTAAAAGGTCAACAGAGAACATACATCCTAGACTGGCCACCTCCCACACTGGCATTCATGCGGCACACAGACATATACTTAAAATAAAAACAAATCTTTTAAGTTGGGTGTGGTAGTGCACGCCTTCAAGGCCCAGCACTTCGGAGGCAGAGGCAGGCAAATCTCTGTTGAATTCGAGGTCAGCCTGGTCTACATAGTGAGTGCCAGGCCAGCTGGCACTGGAGACACTGTCTCAAAAAGATCAAAAATATAATAAATTAAAAAAAAAAAAAACAGAGCTTGAGTCATTTCCTCTCCGTTTTTAAAAATATTATTTTTATTGTTTTCAAGTGTGTGTGTGTGTGTGTGATATATACATGCTCACAAAGGCCAAAGGTGCCTCATCCACCAGAGCTGGAATCAAAGCCATGTAATATGGGTGCTGAGAACCAAACAGCTCCTCTTTAAGAGCAGCAAGCACTTTTAAAAACATATGTGTATGGGTGTTTCATCTGCATGTATGTTAAGTGTGCCATGTGTGTACAAAGCCTATAGAGATTAGAAGAGGGCACAGATTCCCTGGAACTGGAGCAACAGATGGCTGTTAGCTGCCAAGTAGGTGCCGAGAACAGAATCCCGGCCCTCTGCAAGAGCAGCCAATGTTCTTAACCACCGAACCATCTCTCCATCTACTCCCTTTTAATGCCAGGGGATCTTTACACTATTACTGAATTGCCCATTTATTCAAAAACTATCCTGTTAATCTGTAAAATGAGCACATTGTATGAGGTGGTTTCATTAGTAAAGAATTTTCCTTGATGGTTGTACAACTCAAGAGTCAACTTTCATATTCAGAAATTATCAATAGCAACGTGACATCCCGATGAGTATTTTAGCATAAAGATCAATGTGCAAGCATTTATATAGACCTTACCAAAATAACTAGAGAAAGTTCTGTAGAAATCCACTTATCAGTAAGTTTTGAGATTATTTAAGTCTTGAGATATTGCCAAATTTAACTCAAATTGAGAACCCTACTGAGATAATATATCACTAGATGACATTTGTTATATTGACTCAGATTTTTCTCCTTTTGTGATGGAAATGTGATTACACAGAAACAGATGGAAGATGCCAGTGGAGAGATGGAAATCATCAATCAAAAATAATTGCTTAGCTGGGTATAGTAGCTCTTATGCCCACAATCCCAGTACCAGGGAGGCTGAAGTAGGAGGATCACCATGAATTCCAAGCCAGCCTGGCTACAAAGTAAGTTTCAGATCAGTCTAGGCTACAGCAAGACCTTGTCTCAAAAAAAGGGAGGGGAGGGGAGGGAAGGGAAGGGGAAGGGGAAAGGGGAAGGGAAACGAGAAGGGGAAGAAGGAAAAGGGAAGGGGAAGGGAAATGGGAAGGGGAAGGGAAGGAAAGGGGAAGGGGAAGGGAAGGAAAGGGGAAGG